TATTCAAAAAAAAAAAAAAAAAAAAAAAGAAAAAATTGCAATTTGATTGTACTCATCTTTTCACGTCGCTGTGTGATGTATATGATAATAATGCGCTGTTATCTATGTTTATCAAACCGTCTCGAAAACTAGCAAGCGAAACGTGCGCTTCTTCAGTCCATTAGAATTCCGACTCGTTATTTCTTCTCTATATTTTCCAAAAATTAGTGGAAAATGGAAATACTTAAAAACTACTTAAAAAAAAAAAAAAAATTTGATTTTTCCTTCTATAGAATAGTGATAGAATAATAATAATAATTTAGAAAAAAAGTTGTTCCTTTATTTCTACGAACATAGAGCAAAGCACTTAGTCGATTAATTTTTGAAATTTAATATTTAGTAAATATTAATATTTAGTAAATATTAATTAGTAAATATTATTAAATATAATTAAATTTATAATATTTAATATATTAAATATTATTAAATATAATTTAGTAAATATTATTTAGTAAATATTAATATTTAGTAAAATTTAATATTTAGTAAATATTAATATTTAGTAAAATTTAATATTTAGTAAATATTAATATTTAGTAAAATATTTAGTAAATATTAATATTTAACAAAATTCTTCGTTCCCTTTTATGTTACGTCCTGACATATTTCTTTGCAATTTATTACAAACTTGAAATTTATGATATTTATGTACGCAACGATATTGCAACGAATTTTATTTTCGTCGGCTCGTTGGAACGCGTAGATCAAGCTCAGATGTCGGAAAATTACGATGTTTCGCATGGACAAGCGTCTAGGAACGATGTTCCGGGCGCTAATTACCTAATGCGTTACTCAATCGCTAACACGGGCTCGTTAATATTATTATATAACCTCGACAGTTGATCTAAATTTTTCAGAAGATTTTACATAGGAGAAGAGCTAAAAAAAACGCTAAATTTCTTTTTTGAAAATTAACTGTCTCTTGTGCAATCGAATTGAAAATCACCTGATTTTATCAGTATGCAATTTTAAACAATGCACACGTTTTAAAAAGGATATATCTGATGCGTATGCAGGAAGTACGATTAATTTTCGTATTACGTATCTAATTTTTAGCGATGATCGAAATACTAAATTTCACCTTACAAATTTTACAAATTTGATTACCTTTTACAATTTAGAGAATATCGAGTTACTTACGCGAAATAAACTCTCGCCTTTGTCACCAGCATGAGAGAATAAAAAGGATACACCGCTAGAAATCAATTTGTCGATCGAAAAATTAAAAAAAGAACAGCGCCACTGTTAAAATATCATTCGAATTTCTTCTGTGTATAAACCGTATCGTTCTATTGCAGTGTTCATACGTGTCACGAATGACCGGTACGATCTATTTCCGCTCGAAATCCACTAGACTTATTATCGAGCACTGTAAGCTGATTTCGCGACGAATTTCATTTAAATGAAACACTTGCAGCACAAGCCAGGAGTCGCACGAAATAATGTACTACTTACATCAATTCATTTAATTTACCCGGCGCGCGAATGAAACGCACCTCACGAAAACGCAGCGGAGGATCTTTAGTTAAAGCAATAAGGAAGCTTTGAATTAAGTAATGGATTTAACGAGATCAAGCCAATAACAAAGTTACAAATTGATGTACAACCACGGGCTGTATTTTCCAGTATTAATTTCAGTTTCGTACTTTAACCTAATTACATTAAATCACATTTTCCAATTGTAACTTATACTAATCTGATGTTTCACGACTATTTTGTAATTTTGTCGTCTTATTAATTACATTAAACATTGTTGCCAACTGGTTAAAAAATTTACTGTCATTAATTTTCACGCAACATTTGCATGTATATGTATGTATCGATCTGCTATTACTTTGATCGAAATTAGGTTATGGATGCAACTATCGAGATAAATCGCATATCGTGTTCGCATCGACAGGTGGTCCCACATTAATATTTATATGTAATCATAGACTTGAAACTTTACAACACGTTTCTATGCTCTAAATATTAGTCACACTAAGGTAACTATCATGCATAGTGCTATGTTTGAAATAATTAATTCATACTGCGTAATTCATCGCACGGATTCCCCAATGAAACGTTCTGTTCTGACAAATTTATCACTAGAACTAAAAAAAATCACTAAAAAAGGGAACGAGGGAAACCGACCGGTGGAAGATTGAAACTGGCATAGTTACTCACCTAATCATAATATCTCGTCTCGAGACGATTCCAAACCGGCAGAAGCTCATTCAGCGTAGAATTCGCGTTACCTTTTGATACAACACTCCCGATAACACTTGTGTTTCCTGTTTTTTTCTTCTTCTTCTTCTTCGTCCCTTTTTCTTTTTTTCCCTCTGTCTTTTATTACGATCAAAGTCGCGAAGGATTCGACGAAGCGTCAATGGAGAGATAACTAAATCACTACGAAGGGGTCAGTTCGCGGCGAGTACGTCTGTCAATCTGTTAGTACAACTGCCAACTCAGGGACGTCGCACGGGACCGCGAAATCAGGCGGCCCCTTCCCCCCTCCCTGCCACCTTGCATAGCACTAGAAAAAAGGTGTACCACACGCGATAGGGGGATAATAGACGACCATTGACAGCTTACTTCACGGAAGTAATAAAACTCACGGTTAAGGATAACTAGCCAAACGCGAACTTGCCGCTGGATAAATAAATTCGTGCTTTCAACCGGAAGAGCATCCTTCACACACCCTCTGAATTCGATCTCGATGATCGTGATGGAAAGAGGCACGGGTGCGCCAAACAAAGTGAGATTCATATTACGTAAATTTCGTAATATTTCTACGATTCTTATACCGTCTGGGAAATCGTAATTGTTAGTGCCTATTATTAAATTCTTTTTTAAATATTTTCAGTATTTATATGTGTATCTGTATCTGTATATTCAGCGTGTGTGTAAATGTGACTGCAGTGAGTACATTATAATTTATTTGGTATATTACTCGTTTCATAGATAATGATAACAATTACCTCCTCACCTTTTATAGGACATTGTCTTCTTGATAGAGACCAATGAAACAAACGAATAAAATTACATCCGAAGATCCAATTAACGAAACATTACGCGAAACGATCGTAACGTTGATTCAATTTTCCTAAGCGTAGAACCTCCTTAATTACTCAAGCTGGATGTATCGTCATGATTATTCAATGTTGCATACTGAAAGTAATTACATGAGAGAAAGAGGCCAAACGATCCAATATACTAATTCCAATCAGGTTCAGAAACATGGGTCAATCAACGTCTGATAAAAAACATGTACGGTATGCATCTTACAAGAATTTTTGGTAACAAATTTTTCCTCAACGATACTATTTAAAATACTACTTAAAAATTTAATGATTTGTTAGAGAAATTTTGTATTAAACATTTCATGAACAATGCAAATAAGGAAAAAATGAACTTGGTAGTTAATTAGGAAAGAATTAATTAGGAAATTTGAAGGAACTGTCTATACGAGGGACACCATTTATTGGCTTTTGAAGGATGACGAAGAATTTTTACAGACTAATGTAAGTGTATGTACTTTATTGTAGTTAAATATTCAAATTGTATATACTGGCTCTAACCTGTTTGATTCGGTGCTTATTACAGTGCTCATATTACTTGAATGGATTTTACAAGTGCACCATTTATTTACAGTAAGGTGCGGTAAGTAGATGTTTACCAAGTCTGAATTCAAAAAGATTGTTTCAAATTTTATTAAAATTTCAATGTATCGAATTTTTTCACAGAGCAGTACGATTGTGTCAACTTTGTCACGTTAAGATTGTCAAGATTGTCGATCACTAATTGATCTGTGAAATAATTTTCCCAGAAATACTAATCAAACGCATTTTTCAAAACTGTCGAAAAAGAGCTCAGTCACAAATTTCTGGACACTAAGATTCTTTGTTGCATTTCAGCGAATACGAAAATCTTCATTAACCTATTGCATAAGATCATTATTTAAAAAAAAAAAAAAAAAAACAGTAGAAAACTCAATGATTAACTCGTCGAAGAGATTTACTGAAACGTACTGAAAGTGAAACTGAACTCGCGAGTAACGTTGCAAATGTGGAAGGGACTAACTAATCAAAGTAAAAGTGAGTAACATATTTTGGACGTAGAAGAGAAACACGGCTGATCGTTAGATCAGCTCAGTGATAGTAAAATGTAAAAGGTTGGTTATCTAACACACCCCTGTCCCCTGTCCGAGTTAAATTACTATAGAAGACTTTATCCACTTTAGGCATCGGCCGTCAGGCAATCATCCTATTGCCGTACCATAGTATCATGAATGATGGTAAGAAAAGCTACCGAGAGCCGGTTGCCACGAGTTCCCCTGAAATACTGTGTGCCTCTCACTCACTTGTATTCCCACGGTCCAGTTCGCTACGAGAAAACAATGTGAAACGATATTTTCAATCTATGGCTGTGTGGATCACTGTCGAGACACGTGGGTCGTCTTGACGGATGTCGTGCTGCTTGATATGTTTGTCAGCGACTGGTTGACATTTTAATAAACTAGAGAAGGATAAAGCACAATTGTTACCAATCTAAGGTAATTCGAGACCAGATAGATTATCGAGAGAGAGAGGCAAACGATACGCATGCAACCTCCTGTTCGTGAAGCAGACGAGAAAATGAAAGAATATCAGATTATGTTCGAAAAATTTGTGGCGAAAGTATCTAACGTAGTAGTATCAGATCGCTCGGACAATTCGTAGCGGAAATTTAATAACTAGAATTAGATTTTAGAGAATCGTTTCGATAATGAATTCTTTCAATTAATTTCTAACGATTTTCCAGAGTATTTTGTCTCTTGCCTGTGTCTCTTTCAGATAAATCTTATCATTATCGGTATTTTATGTGGAATACGTCTGAATTTTTCTTAAGGAATTTGTCGCGCGAAACGTTGCCGATCCAGAAAGCTTCTTATTGCGTCTCTTGCCACTTTAAGAAGCAACTGTGAGATAATGACCCAATTAGATGCCATTTACACGTGACTCATATCGTCAATTTATCCATGTCCGGCTGCCAAGCATTAATGCTTTACGTGTGTGATTATCCACATTTGGTATAGAAAGGTAAACCACAAATGGGATAATGCACAGACAACGTCAATAGACCACACGTGCAAGATTTGGTCAAGAGAAATCGTTTGTCACACGGCTTGTAACAACTTCTATCGGCAGACGTTTGCAATTTCGTAGACTTACTCGTGATCACGGATTACAAAGGGAAAACGTGAACCTACTTTTTTCGTTCACTGTACGTTGAAGAAGATGAAGCTGGTAAAGTCTCAGCAATATCAGAACTGTATCATTATTTTATTCGATTTTTAACTAAAAAGTCAAATTTCTTTTTTTTAAAATCATAGCACGTGAAGAATTAGAAGAAGAAATTTTAGGATAAGTCGAAAACAAAGAGTTCCTTTACTCTAATCATTCCGTCTGTCTTTCATGTGTGTCAAAGATTTATAAAAATAAAGGAATGTGATAGATGATGATTGGGAAACAGAGGATGGTTAAAGATTGATTGAAATTGAGTAGATGTAAAAATAGAGCGATTGATAATTGTCGACGGAGCGTCTAGCAGCGACTCGAACCACTGAGAGGGGGCGCAAAACTAGTTCGTCGCCGAATGACGTAGTAGCTCTCATTTTCTTGACCACCTAGTATACACATCCGGTCGGCTGGGCACTCTGCAACTTTCCTACTTCATTCATCGACGCATTCTGTGGCCTTTGAAGGTTGCACAGGCAGAAAAGAGCGGGCACGGTCGCGCGCCGCCGATCAGAGTCAGCCGGCGTACACGCCGACCAGTTTCAACATAATAATTCCTTCTTGGAAATACACCGTGGCTACCACTACATTCTACGTCATTGCGAATACCAATCGTATTCGTTACATGTGAACCTCCTCTCCAAGACTTTGCGATACCGTCTTCTCTTCCCATACGTTGTTCTATACCTTTTTTTACTCTACCGAGAAATATATTGTCCAAACGATATTACGTTACGTTATGTAACCACAAAACTATTAGCGCGGTGAAAATCAATTTGATAAAACAATTAGAGAATTCTTAATTTTTAAATAACAGCACAATATGAAAGATTCCCTTTTAATATATTTTTTATTGCTTCTTTCAGAATTTTAGTTTCTGGATCTGGATCTACATCAGTACTTGCTAAGAAGTATGGAATTTGTGAAATTTTTTGTAAAATGGCCATTAATTAATCAACTCCAATCAAAGTAATCAAATTTTGTAAATTAATAAATTTCCTACGAAAATGAAATATTTCACTGCAAAAAGAGAGGTATGTGCAGATACTTTTTGTAGTCACTACATATGTACATCTTTTTAATTCATCTTCCAAATTTCTTCTTTGCGACAAAGTTTTCAAAGATTTACATTTAGTAAACAAATGTGCAATTAAAATATTCAAAGGAAAAATAAAATTTTGACAAAGGTGATCTTTTTTAAAGTTAATAGGTAACGATGGATGATGATTCTTTTAAAATGTGACTCCTGCCGAGAACTTAATAAAAGATAAACAAACAACATGAATGATGGACCGTGCAACTGTACAACAGGAAGTTATAATGGGCAGGGACATGGCATCAATGAAATGGGAAACTACCAATGACTGGAATACTATCGTCATCCCCGACAATCTCTGCGTCACCTTTGGATTAGCAATCGTGACGTGGCTTTCACCGAGTACATTGACGCCATAAGTGTTGCAATTTCTTGAAATCCATACACAATTTTAAATATCGTTATTATTACTCTCAAATTGGCACATTTTATTTTACAATGCATTGGATACCAACTGTTAAGAAGATAATAAAAATTCGTTGAATCATTCCAATAATTCAAATTATCCAAGAAGGAGGGAAAAAAGGAATAAATGTTATATTTTTAAAATCAGTTGCATAGTCGCTTCTTCGTTCTTATGATTGATTGCAACGACTGTGACGATCAACCTGCGATACTTATTATCAAATATAATTGTATATATCACATGCAGAATAAACTCGATAGAGGAATAATAAGAAATTAATCGCAAGCTATATAACTTCGTTGTGTCGTATATCCGATTACAGTGGTTTAATCTCCGTGCAAACATTCTCCGTGAATAATACAGCGGCGAGAATACGGCTGGGAACGGTGGCCGATACCAGGCGAACTCCGCGTTCCGTCGAAAATTCCGTTCGTTCGATTCTCAGAGCGCACACAGGTATTCGCGCTTGTGACCGTGCACGTGCGCGAGAGCACTCTTTCGAAGGGGGAAGAAGGTTATCGACGGCGCCTCGCTGAGAAGGAGAGTAAAGAGAGAAAGGTGAGCAGAGGGCAGAGACGAGAGAGGAAACACAGAGGAGATAGCTGAGTCACGCACACATTTGCAGGGTACATGCTACATTCAACGTAGGTGTGCGATGAGATTGTATGGAGGAGTGTACGGCAGTGGTGGACCGCGTGCTGGAATACATCGATGGTCAATGGTGGGGAGAAAACGTGAATGATCCATAGATGCCTGTACCGTTGTGTGCACCATTCAAGTAACCTGTGTTGGTATACAGGGCGTTCCAAAATATGCGTGCAAAGGCATTCAAGTCACTCGAAAGCTGTGACGTAAATTAAAAATGCATAGACGATTGCAATTTGTCACTTACATTTCTCATGCTCTTAAGATCCATAAGTCGATGATAAATGACTATCCAAAAAATATGAACACAGAATCTCAACTGTTGTATTAAATGAAGATTCGTTCGTTGAGAAACGAATATAATGTTAGAACATACTGTTAGAACAGTACTATCCAATTTTGTTCCACTTTCAATTACTAACGAATCTACTATAAACCTAGGATTTATTTTATATCAATGAAAATACGAAACTTCGATGTCACAACGTCAGAATATCCGCGTGACTTTCTTACGTCGCGTGAATCTAAGTCTACGCGAAAGTAATGGTGTCTGAAATTTTAAAATATTCCACAATACGTACGTGAAATTATTCTCCATCTTTGCCCATTGGACCGCCATATTTTGCAACATCCTGTAGAGTGACCAGCGTGTACACGGATGGAAAGGAACGGGCTGGTAGTAGAACGTGGTGGGAAACGCGGACCACGGAGTAGGGATAAGCAGACAGAGAAGTGGGAGGCGGTTAAAGGTTCGGCTTCGGAAATGGCCGCGGGAAAGTAGAGAGCGTTACGTCGTCTGGCAGGCGAGCCAAAGTTTTTCGTGTGCGGCGCTCGTTAATCCGGCGCTTCGAGCGTCAGTTTCCACCGCTTCACTCTCCAACACGTCGTTTGCCATGTTTTAAAAAAGAAAGGAAAAAAGTCGTAAAACGTGGTACCATTTCAAAAGATCGCGATTAGTGCTTGCGACTAATCTGCTGTCCCTCTCTATCTCTTTATCTCTCTTTCTCTCTCTCACTCTCTCTCTCTGGTGAGAGTAGTTCAGACACACACCGGTGTCTCAAAGAGATCAGAGTGCGTGCACGAGAATGGCCGGCGACGATGGTGCACCATCGAACAATGAGATCCTCGCGGACAGAGAGGGGCAGGGTGCGTCAGTGCGGGGGGAACCGCATTCCAGAGTGGGCGGCATCCTGGAATGCGATCCCCCCGGTAACAAGAATTCGCCGAGCCAGCGAGTCCCTAACGACGACGACTGCGCCGACGGAAGCGCTCACACTGTGATTCCGCACGATTGTAACGGAGGCGGGGGGACACCGATTGCCGGCGATAACGGCCCTCTATGTCGATATGCTATCGGCACTGCGCATACCGCTATGTCTTTTATCGAAGTTTGCCAGGTAACTACACGCTTATCGATACTTTCGTTTTATCAGTTCCGTTCGCCGAAGTCGCCGGACGAGACTTTCATTTAATCCGAGTCCGTTGTCTGCCGGCTGTACGCTCGAATTCCCTCTTTTTCGCACGTGCTCGTGAAGTTCCGACTTTGAAATTCCATCTTTCGTGTCTTATTTATTCGGTAACAACCTCGGCCTAAATACAACTTGATTCACGCCAGACCGCTGGAATTCGCGATGTTCGACTTTCGCCCCGCGATTTTACACTCGCCGCAATAGAGATTGAAAATTCCGAAATTTTGGTTGATCTAACCCTAAATTTGTCTCGACGATCAAAATCAACGTGCGAGAACATTGTGCCGTTCAGTGCAATTCCGAGTAATGAGAGCGAAGCACCGTTAATCGTCCGATTACTATCCCGCGTTGCTCACGTGTATGTGCGTTCGTTTCGAAAAGCTGAATGTAACCAACTGTGTTCTGAAATAACATAAAAAGAATCGACTCTTTCAGATTCGACTCCAGCACCTCTTCCCGCAGCTGGTCTCGTCCTCGCGGTATAGATCCTACGAGGACTCCATAGAACTGACTGCAGAACGATTGGCGAACGATGTGATACGGTATCTACTGAAGGAGGATATATATCTGATATCTCAAAATCCAGTTTCCCGCAGCATGAGACACAATGTATATCAGATGTTGAACAAGCACAGTATCCTCTTCGCTAGTATGGTAAATCGTCTGAACGTTATGCCGGACACGGCTTACGAAGCGTTCATGGGTGTTGCCGACGAATTGTTCTTGCACGGTGGAGTTACATGGGCGAGGATTATTTGTCTGTATGCGTTCACGGGCAGACTCGCTCTGTGGGCCCGGGACAGACGGATGCACGCTTTGAAGAAAAAATTACCTCTTTACGTTTCGAGATTTATTGGCGAGAAAGTTGCGGATTTCATCAAAGTATACGGAGGATGGGTAAGTGCCGTGTTTTTGAAAATTAACTACTTGTACATAGAAGTTGTATTCTCAGTGCACAGAGTTTTGTTACATTAATGTGTGCATGCACTGTATTTTCTTAGGAGCAACTGTGCATAGAATATCCTGTGGCCGAAGAGATAAGTGGAGCGATTTGGAAATGTCTCATAGTAACAGGTGCTACGCTTGGTGTGGCTGCAATCATCTTGACAGTGATCTCTTGATATAGCCTTAGAAATTAATTTATACAGGGTACGTTTTGCGTGAGATCTTCCAATGGTACTTATTTCTTATCAAAATATATTGAGAAACAATTTCTGGAAGTTTACACAAGATCTTTAATATTGGCACGAAGAGTGAAATTGTGTGATCCAAAAGACAGCTTACATCTTATGGAATAAGTACAGGATATCAATTAAGTTTTAACCTTGCAACCTGCACAATTTTCATATCAGTGTCACTCTCAGCTTAGAATCGTCCTACATTTTATATAACAGATGTGTAACATAAGATGAATGATAATGATACAAGTTTCCTATTATATTCATGCAGCTCGGTGGACTAGTTAAATTAGTGAAAAAAAAGAGTAAATCTTATTTAATATTAATCTAGATATTTTATCAAAATAATTTCATATAATACTCAAAATTGAAGTTCCAGGTATTTTATACCGACCAAGAATCTCAAAATTCTATTGAATTTAGGTAGACTCAATCTAAATGTATTTATTTATAATTTATTTTAGGTAGAAAATATATTAATAAATTTCCTTGTCAATCAAAGATCATCATAATGAATGCTTAGAACTTGTTAAAAAAAAGTAACAATGCTTAGAACTTGTTAAAAAAAAATAACAATGCTCATTGAATATATAATAACATTCTTCTTTTTTTTTTAAATGAATGAATGAATGAATATACATGATAGTTTCTAATGATATTGCAAAAATTTTTATACAACTATTCAGAGACAATAAATAGTTTCATTGATTTAATCAATTATTTTTAAACCTGTAACAAGAAAAATCATCTATCAGTCAGGTTTAATGTTTTATATATATATAAATGTTTGATAGCATATTTTGTATGGACGAAACATTTAGATGATATATTTTCAACTCTTTTAATATAAAACATTAGCAAATGCAAAGGAGGCTAGATGATTAAATCCAAGTAGCTGATTTTTATGATAAATGTTCATTCACGATCCCATCGAAAATTTTAATTTCTTATTATACACTTAACAATTACATTGATTATAGTATTACTCGATTCTACATTCTAAATGCTATCGATGTCATAATATAAAATATATCACGGAAAATATAAAAACTTAATATATAATATAAACAATAAGTAGATATTAAACAACAATCACTATTAATTTCAAAAACAATTACTTTTAAATATACTTGTTTATATGTATTATAGTACTTTGCAAAAACTGAAGAGAAAACAGAATTCGTGTAAAGATCATAATATTACCAAAAGAGTTCAATTTTAAAAGGTATTATCTTAAAAAAGAACTAATATTTTCGCTCTAGAGTTACTAAAAGAAATATATTTAATAGATATTGATATAGTTTTATTTAAAATAGCATACTTATTCAAACGTAAATACAGTCTACGTACTACTCAAAATATATTAATTTATTTGATCTCAAAATGCAAGTATTTAAAACCACAGAAATTTCTAAAATACATGATTGGTAATGAGGGTATTTATAATATATTCTGTATCGTTTTATCTTTCAAATAATAATAGTACCAGTGATAATTTTTCAATTGGAAAATTAAACACATGATTTTATTGATGATATATTTTACTAATAAAATAGTTCGACTCCTGTATACATATTATCGGTATTGAAAACTATTAAAAAATTTGCAAAACCGAGGATTCGCTTCTTCGAGTAATACCTTTTGTCGCTTTTATCAAATTCTTGTTGCTAGCAAA